CCCACAAGCTACTTTCTACTTTTTCTCTAGCTGTCCCAAACTCCTCATAGCCAGCCACAGCTATATCAGATACCCCATGGCTGCTCTGGGAAACTTTTGCTCTGGTTCAGCAAGCCTCAGCCGAGGGTCCATCCCAAATGATTCCATCCCTCTACAACCATTCTCTTTTAGGTGGCAGAAGAGCCCCCTACCCCACCCATGATTAAGAAAGTCTGCAGTTAGATGGCAAGATACTGCACAGGCATGAGCCTGCCTTTTACATAAGCAATCTCCCCCATCAGTCCCTGCACTGCTCCTCCTAATGCTGTAGCGTAAGTCCCAAAAGAGCCTCTCTGGATGGCATACTTGCCTACTCACAATTCCTACTTAGGGTAGAGCAGGCTGAGCTGGTACACTAAGAAATGGTAACACCAAAAGCCTCTGGCACCAAGGGCAATCAGCACAAGTTGGGTCTGGTAACACAGAGGGTAGTTAGTAGCCGGGAAGTTACTAAGAGCAACACAGCTGACAAGAGTTGCCATCTCTGGTCACTAGAAGAGCTTCCAAACAATGCCAGTAACTGCCCACTCCAGAGGGCCATTAAACCTAAGGGCTGACAGCCATTAGCATTCAGAGCTCAGACCTGTTAGCATTAACATGACAGGCTTTCTTCTGCAACTTTATTGCTTAATATTAACTTTCTCTTTTACTACTATTACTCCATTGTACAAATATGCACAGTTCATTTATTTGTTCTTCTGATCCACATTTTTTCAGTGTGGTTCTTGAACCCCTAAGGGAATCCCCAAAACCCTCTCAGGAGCTTCCTGTGGTCAGAAGTGTTTGCACGAAAATATGTAAGATAACATTTGCCTCTTTCATACTGGAAAAAACAATACTGGATAATCCTGCTGGTGACTCAGCCAAGTTAACACTCTTACTAATGAGATAAAAGGATATTAAGTACCTTCTGATAAGATGCACTAGGAAGGACAAAGTATCATTTCTATGGCACTCTTGCCCAAAATACACAGTCTGAACTTAGTGGTGAAGAAACATCCCACAAACCCAATTTGAGAAACAGTCTACACGATTACTAGGTAGTATCTAAGTCATCGAAGAGTGAGGAACTGGCCCAAACTGGAGAAGACTACAACAACATATGACCACAGACCACAAAAAAGATCATTAGTGGGACAACTGGTAAAATCTGAATAGGGTTAATAGATTACTTAGTACTGTCATAGTAGCACTAATTTTTAGGTTTCAAAAAATTACAGTAAGATACTAAGATCTGAAGAAGATGGGTAATAAACAGAAGGGAACTCTAATTTTTCAGTATTTTTGTAAGCCTGAAATTATTTCAAAATGAAAGTTAACTTTAATTTTAACTACTCTGTAAATAAGTATCAGTTACTGAATATAAGTAAAGTAAATCTTGCAGAATGTAATACAATGTCAATGAATATTACATTGTAGAATGTAATATAATGTCAATGGATATTACACTGTAGAATGTGATACAATGTCAACTGACATTAAATATTTAAAGAAAAAAACACTGAAATTTGTATGAAAGACCTGGGGGCAAATCCAGGGCCAACACATTATGGTTTGCTCAATCCTTTTTAAAAGAAAAAAAAAAGTAGCGGGGTGTAGTGGTGCACACTTGTGATCCTAGAATTCAGGAGGCTGAAGCCGGGGGATCGGTGTGAGTTCAAGGCCAGCTTAAACTACATAGCGAGACCCTATCTCAAATAGCAACAACAGAAAAAAACTGATGAAATTAAACCACAGAAGCTAAGAAAGCATTTCAACATTTCACATGAAGACTGGCTATCCTGAATCTAGATGTGCTTCTAAAATGTTTACTAAGGGATGGAATTAGCTCAGTGTAAAGCATGCATAAAGCCCTGGGTTTAATCCTCAGCACTAGAAATAAATACATACAATGTCTGCTGAAAGAATCAGATGAACAGGCTGACCTGCTACACATAACAATGTTTTAAATTATCTTGTAAAATAAACTACGATTCTACAAATTAACTCTTAAAAACACCTACTCTTATATTAAGATAATGAAACTATTACTATGACAGTTACACCATATTACAAAACATATAGACGTTAATATCCTTTCAAAATTCACTATAGAAGATTTTTAAAAAATAAGTTCTGGCGTCCTACTGCAGGGGAGGATGACTATAACCATATATACGTGTGTATATATATGTGTGTGTATGTATATATATACATATATATATGTATATATATACACACGCCAGAAAAAAGGATTTTGAACGTTTTCACCTAAAGAAAACAAATGTTCAGGGAAATTTTTAAAAGTCACTTTGGTTTAGGATCTCACTTTACCTTTGAACTACATAGTGAACTACACATTTTTTTAAAAAAAATTCTAATTTCCCCATAAAGCTACAATTACTGATCTTACAAATTCCTCCAAACTACTGAGTTGTGATCAGACTGTGGACTGAGCTACCATGACAACAAAACTTTTAAAGTGTGCACAAACAGGCACCCATGTCTGCTGCTGGGTCTGTAAACTGGTACAATGTCTTCCGAGAGCAATTAGGCAACATGTATCCAAGTGTTAAATATGTGCATGGTTTGGAACAGCAATTCCACTTCCGCAGTACTCAGCACATATGCACAAAGACATCATTGTAAATAATATAAATGCCTGTCAATTAATTACTGGTTAAGCAAACACTGGCATCCAGTCACTGGAATACTACACAACCATGAAAGAATAAGATAGAATCAAGTAGCCTGTACAAATGGGCTAAGACGCAGCAATCACCAAGAGGAACTACTGAGAAGATACGAAAGTGCAAAAGAATGAAAATGGCTTATTACCACTCGTACTTAAGTAGTGGAATAAAAGCCCGATACAGTGTCACATGCTTGTAATCTCAGCACTCTGGGAAGTAAAGCTGGAAGATCACAAGTTCAAGCCTGGACTGCCTAGTGACTTGGCAATACCCCGTCTCAAAATAAAATATAAAAAAGGCCTGGGGATGTAGCTCACTTTAAAGGAACTGAATTGAATTCCCAATACCAGAAAAGAAAAAACAAAAAATCAAAATCAGACAGATTTCTGTTTCCAGTGTGTTCACATGTATGACTGCAATAGTAACACACAAGAAACTGGTAACAGTGCTGGTCCCTTTTGTGCTTTGTCTTACTTTCTTGTGACCACATACACACGCCCCTTTTCGTGTTCAAAAAACTACTAACATACACAGTTTTATAAACTACCTGTTCATAAGCCGAGCTAGCTCATAGTCTTTTTTTTTTGGTTCTTCTCCGGTACCAGGAACCGAACTCACGACCTTGCGCTTGCCAGGCAGGCGCTTTTGCCGCTGAGCTAAATCCCCAGCCCCTTTCATTTCTCTCTTACTGCTGCTAGAATTAACTATGACCCCACTTTAAGATTTGTTAGGCTTCCTCGAGCTCCATCACAATAACTTCAAGTAGCACAGAGAACTCAAAATTCTAAGAGTATCCAACTTTAAACCTGAACTAGTTTCTACTTGATTCAACTACGAAGGCTAAATCCACGTGAGAATGAACAGATTACAACAAGATGTTTCTTTTGAGGCCAAGTCTTCAGTTTCTCATATAAAAAACTCCAGTCAATAACAAACAGATCCCTACAATGCAGAGAACCAAGAACACTAACTCCACGGGTGAACGGGTCAGACGCTCGCAGCGCCTCACCGACAGGAGCTGCTAGCAGAAAAGAACATCGGCCGTCACCTACGCCTGTCTTCGCCCTGAAAAAGCATTTAATACTAAGCGGTGGCTCAAGAGATCAAACTACCTGTCCGTCTTGCTGCAGAGACTTTATAGCTAGACGAAAAATCATTTTCCGAGTCCCAAACAGCACTGAGAGACTGAACTTCGTTCAAGTCACTCTGTCGCAGGAGGCAGGGGTGCGAGAGCTGTCTACCAACCCGAGGCCGCACGCCCCTCGGCAGCTGGGCGCCAGATGGCCACGCCAGCCCGGTGCAGACAGTTCTCGCTGGGCGGCGGGTTCTCCACCCGGCTCCCCCGGGCCCTCGGACCCCAGCCCCGGGGGAGGAGTGAGGCTGCGTCCGCCGCGTTCCGGGCTTTGTGCCGGGCGGCCCAGACGGCCCGGGGACGGCGCGCCCAGCGCTGCCCCCCAAGCTTCCGTTCGCCCGCGCCCGCCCCGCCGCTCCCCGGGCCTCGCGCGGCCTTACCGGTGGGCGCGCTGTCCAGGATGCGCAGGTCGTAGGCCCCCGAGCAGCGGTAGTTGGCGGCCGTGCCGTTGTCCCACACCACCACCACCTCTTCGGGGCTCTCGAAGCTCCGCACGGTGCCCACATGGCCCTCGCCGCCGTCCTGCTTCCCCCACTTCCAGTCCGGGCCGCGCACCACCCGCGCCCCGACCCCTTCCACCATCACCCGGTTGTTGCGGGAGTTACTCATCGGGGCCCAGGCGGGGGGCTC